AATGTACTGGTTGCAATGCAGATGCAAATACAACTTTCAGGACAACTTCATACTGATGTTGGAAACTCGATTTTAAATTGGTCTTAAAACTGTCTTTAAACTACAGTGCGAAACTAGTGTGGAAAACTACATAAAAAGTAGCATAATAAAATATCTGAAAACTCAATTGCCAAACTAATGTATCAACTGTACTCATTTCTCTTTATTTTCTCCTCTGCAACTGCAGTTTTAAGACTGCAGTTTGAACGCTATAGTCCAAACTACAGTTTAACTAAAGATCCTTCCACCCGGGAGCTGGCTTGCAGCAGACGGACTATACACATTTCACATTTTTTCGCGCTTGCGCTTTTGAAAGGGTTTACAATTCTACGATACGCTAAAATCCTGCCGTTCCCTCAAAATGTGCAATTCTCTGTCTCTCTTTGGCGGTTTGAAATTTCTAAAAATAAAAGGTTGCCAAAAATTGCCACACATGGTCGCAAAGTTTATAGTCCACTTCCCACTAATCCCTCGAATCACAGTATAGTATCGCACCGGGGACAGTGTAGGTGTAGCGTGTACACCCGGGGCGTGCTATGCAGGGTGTAGTTGCGATGGTTGAAGGGTGTAAGAAAGGAAGTACAAAGATTTACAGTTCTTAGGGCCGACCACCAAGTACTCACTATTTGCTGGAGATGTGTCCGAGCCGGAAGCCTATGCGCGTCTGACGTGTCGCGCACCCGATCGAGCCTTCCCGGGCTGGATCGGGTAGCACCCCGCGCTGTCGCGAATGCAGCGCGAGGCTTTCCAGCAGGCGCTGGCCACGACGCTAGTTCCTCCTCGTGAGCGCGAGAATTTAAAAGTCTACGCATGTCTAACAATCACTTAGGCAGTACATCCCAAACGTTACGTATGTGTCGTAATTATGATGAATGTTCAGTACGAAGGGCTGTGCTCGCTGCCGTTTTATCATGATAACTCGCTTTGTTTTGTGTTTTATAATTTCCATATTGTTATTTTTTTCCTTCACTCCCCGTTTTTCCATTTGTCATACGCGATGGATTGAACGCTGCTGGCCGTTCTACGAGCTGGACTAACGATCAGCGAGGAAACACCTCCCCCAGAGGGCTGCGCTGGCGCTGGCCTCCCTCTACCCAACGTGTTGAATCAGTAGAATACTCACTCGCGACCCCGTTTTCGCCCCCCCCCCCTTCTGCCCTACACAAGCGCGCGAGCGAACGTCCTCGTGTTCACACATTCTCACATATCAAATAATGCAGCGTATTGCGTTACGTTGCTTTCAACTTTCAGTGTGCGCGGGGGATTCATGTTTCAACGCTTTTCAAATTTCAAAGACTTTTGCCCGGGCCTTTCCCATCCTATTAGCTTGCACATTTCTGCTCTGTTTTAAAAGACGGGCGCGCTGCGTGGGCGGGCCGTTCATGTTTAGCAGCTCGTATAGGGGATGTTGTTGCCCTGCCCTGCCACACCCTCCCCCATGACCCACAAATCCACCCCGCTCCGCTCCGCTCCCTCCTCGCGTTCTCAATAACTTTTCCCAACAAGTCATGCTCGCTATTGTGGTGGGCGCTGCCCCCTCCCCCCTCCCCCGACCCCGCTTTCCCCCGAATCCTAATTAAGTGATGGCGCCCTGCTCCGCCCCCGCCCCGCCCTGTCTGGCGGAGCTGTCCCGGCTTGACACACGACTCGACGCACCCGAGGCGCCGGGGCGCTAGCGCAGCAACACACCTGCAGGTGTGTCGGCGAGGGTGTGGTGCACCAGCTGGTTGTGGCCACCCCGCCCTCAACTAATTTCGCGCAGTGAACACTGAAAAATATTCTACTAAATTTACATCACCTGTAGTAAGCAACCATTTTAATGTCAATTTACAACCCCGTGTCGTAAATTTACACAAGAATTTCGTAATTTTAGTATTTCAAATACTAACGTATTTTCAATACATTCACTGTTTTTCAACGAATGTGACGTCACATTCGTTTCAATGTTAATCGTGTCACGTTCGTTTGAATGTTGTGTCATATTCGTTTAAACGTGAATCGGCCAAGCCTGAGCGCCATTAGAGCATCACCTCACCTGAAGTCACGTTTAAATGAATGTGACACAGTATTCAAACGAATGTGACATGTTTCACATTAAAACGAATATGACGTCACATTCCTTGAATAACAGTGTTTCAAGAGAAATTTTCACGAAAAGCATCAAACAACATTTTTGTCAAAACATACATCAGTATCATCAGTACACCACCATGTCATGTCCTGTATGCACTCAAGCTGGCGGCGGGTGTATTTCATAGCAGCACCGACTCAATCTCGTGTAATAGCAAAACACCTGATGCCTGATAGCGGTTGGTTCTCAATATTTTTTTCGGCCGCTCATCTTCAGCCCACACGACGAGATGCACTACCGCGTAATTGTTTGTAGATTATCCATTATCACTTAGATCGTCTCAGTGTATCGGCGAAACAATAAAGTGTCCTCTGTATTGCAGCCTCGCGCCCTTCTGTCTATAGGTCTTAGGTGACGCTGCATTATCAAGGGGAGGGGGGAGGGGGGTCTATGACCTAGGCATGAGTCGAGGCCTGAGTGTTACTTTGCTCTTCTCTGAAGTTTTGATGTCTGAAATAACTATCTTAAGTTACGGTTTCAAGCGAAGCAGGTGCCTCTGATCCTCTCTTTCTTTATGCCAAACAAGTCAACAAGTCCAGCGTGTTCCCGTTCCTGTGCCCACACCTCGCGAGGCGCCGCCCGGCGCCGAGGCGCTTTTAACAGCCAGGCGAGAAATGAACCGTGCTACTAACCCAACTCACCCCTTCGCCCATCCCCTCCTCCCCCTCCCTCCTGCAACGCCACTCAGCACGAGCAGAGCCCTCCGATCAAATATTTACTGACGATACTGAATGTGGAGGGTACAGTAGAGGGAGCGTGTGTGTGCGTGTGCCTATGAGGGGGGAGGAGCAGGAAAATTCAGAAAATTCAGGAAAAAAACCTCTCATACAGTATACGTATGGATACAAAGTATCGCAGTAACGCTTAATATTTTTCGAGGCGAAAAAAAAAATAAACGCACAGAATTCTTTTCTATTTGACCGACAGGATGCAGCACTGATATGCGGCGGACATCGTGTGTTCTGCTACACAGTCGCCCCCGAAATAGCCCGACGTGATCAAATTTGTATGCTCGTCCTTCTTTCTATATAAGCCCCCTCCCGTTGACGCACGCTCATCTATGTTTCATTTAGGCGCGCAGTGAGCAGTGTATAATGCATATCACCGTGAGTTTCACTTTTTCAATTTTATTTTTCATTTGACGACGGCGAGAGGAGTTGCACGAGTGAGTGCGCAGATTCCCATGCTTGAAGTCATGCACCCAGATAACTTGATTTTGACTCTATACTGGTTTGATGTAAATCTGCCCCTTTCTGGACACACAGTTCAATTTCACAAAAACACAAATACATTGTATATTTTTAAAGGTGTTTTTTTTTGTACGTGAGATGCCTCAGCGCAGCTACCTATAACCCACCAATTTTGGCTCGCGGCAACATAGGCATTTGTCTTGTTGCCGGGTGGGGCACAGCAGCAATCATGAGGTGATCTAATCCCGGCTGTAATCCCTCTGACGCTGGGCAATTACAGCGCGGGATGACACTAATAGCGGAGGTGTCTTATGCACTGTAAAAAGGATTCTCCTCATCTGGGAAATCAGAGTGACGAAAAATACAAATCTCTAAGAAGTGGTTGTAAAAATATTTAACTGTGACGTTCTCATCTTTTCATCACAATTTTCGATTACAGTGGAGACGTGTCCTACTGGCACGTGTGACAGTGAGCACCTGCGTCTTGGGCGTCCACGGTTGACTGCGCTCCACAGCAGTTTGGAGTTAAATGACGCTAGTTCCGACTAAAAGACAATGCATCACATCCTGCCCGTTACCCCACACTTCGGATGTACTTTAAAAGTCGTATGAGGATCATCCACTCTCCCCGAACCTCCTCTCTGAAGAATACGTCTGCTATTTACATCCGTGATGCCGCCGGTGCAATGCAGTCAAGGAAAAGAGAACGCGTTACACTTTAAAAGCAAGTGCCCTACAACCGCCCAACCACTGTGAGGCGTGAGGCCGAGCTGCGCGCGCAGCGCGGTGTAGTCGGGAAGCGCCCGCGTGCAACGGAGTAGGCAACCCCTCGCACCGCGCCGTCCGCCCGCTGGCCCAGCCCCTCCCGCCCGACCTCTTTTTCGTCTCCCCATTATTTGCATTTTTATTATTTTTCGTTTTGACATGTTTTTTGCGGTGTAAGTCGACGTGTACCCTTCCACGCCGGGTACTCGCGTACTGCGCCGTGAACCACCCACGACAGCGGGGAGGTGTCAAGTGAAAGAGGAGGGCGGGCAGGAGGGGAGGGAGCGCGCTCGAAGCCCGCGACACTACAAGCGACCGGTAATGAAGCGGCTGGAGGTGCTAGAGGCCTGCGAGGCGCTTTCCCGAATGTAGACCTCCCCACCAAACGAAAGGTAAAACAGCGGTGTGAACCGCGCAAGAAAAAGAAAGAAACGTTTCAAATCCATAACTCCTTTTGCTTCAGATATTTTGTTTGTCACGATGGCGGTGGCCGGCCCTACATGGCACGAGTGTGGGAGTGCGTGAT